GGGGGGGGGGGGGGGGGACAAACTTGGTTTATCTGTTTTTGTGAATTGGGTTTGGCTTCTTATTACAGGATTCTGTCCTGAAGATCATTGAAAATGCCGGATGCCAACGAACCGAGCTTCTTCTTGGTTTCACCTGCGATGTTCACCAGCGACGATATATCTTGCTGCGCCTGTTCAACATGTCAACCACTACAGTTCATCAAACCCACAACAAGTCGAAATCGAGTGAAGTTTCCTAATGATCGGGTTCGAATTGAAAAGGGTTTCATATCCACGATAAGATCTGTATTATAGGTAAATATCTCAAGAGCCAGATTCCTAGCCGATCAGTCATATCCTGGATTATATCTATCTACATTGCTGATTCAGTTGAGTTCATATTGCAGATGTTTTGGATACAACTGACGCTCATCCCTAGATGGGCATATAGAATGTTAGATGAGATAAACAACTGAAATGGGACTTGCCTGGAAAGAAAACCGGTTGATGAGATCGCTAGCAGTGATTCGATTCCGGTCACGTCATCCCGACGGCGGCGATCACTGAACCCTGCTAATTAACCACTGGCGTTAAGAACCGAAATGCAAAGAATCCAAATCTTAAATGCAAAGAATCCAAATCTTTTATCTTGACTCCATCTTAAATGCAAAGAATCCAAATCTTTTATCTTGAAAATCAAAGGGAATGTATTTATGAAGATTTAGAAGGAAAGGGGATGACGAACCGAGAATTTCTGAAGTGTAGCTTTTGTGTCAAGATCAGCACCTCTACTCTGGTCCCCAAAATACTGGGCCGAGGAAATGGACTTTGCATTAGAGAACTTCTTTCTCGCTTCATCAGTCTCCTCGACCTAGTATGAAATTCATTAGCAGAAAATCGGGATAGATGCTATATCTTCTGTTGGAGTTTCACAAGAAATACCGCCTTACTTGAACTTTGGAGGAGCTTGAGCTCGATTTCTTTTGGAAACCGCTCTCCATCCCGAATTCTGCAAAGAAATTTGATGACTTTGGTGGAGCAACGTGGCTAAGCACTTGCGAACCACTCTGCCCTCCAGATTGCATATCTTCAACATACTCAAACCGAGAGGCAAATGATGAACCGGCTAATGAAGAGCTGCTGTTCTTAGCTGATGATGCAACAGGAACTACCGGAGCAGGTTCTTCGGGTTTCTGTTCATACAGATATTCGCTCCTCTGCATTTTGCCAAAAAATAAAAAAAGAGACCAACTGAGAGAGTTTCACTGAAACCTTGTTTACAAAAATTCATAGAACTAAGGGAGCTACCTTCCATGCTTGTCTGAACAAGAGAACAGATTAGCGTTAGGACTACCGAATCTTACCTTAGTAGTAAGCTTCCGAGCCCCCAGCCCACCAGTCCTTCCTGTCTTTTTCGCGACCAGAGGTTTCTTAATCGCGCTAGAGACAGCTGTATGAGAAGCTTTTGGTGAAGAGGAGACATCAGGAGTTTCTTGTTTCAAAGAACTTTCTTTAGGAAATTCATCGGCCTTGACAACAGAGGAAAACCCATTGGATGCTTCCGCTGGCTGAGAGGCAGCGACAGGTGATGATGGAAGAACCGTCTCTTCAGCCATGGCTTTAGCAACTTCCTTGGAAAGAATCTGTCTGTACAATTCTGCAGCTCTTGAGGTGTACTTAGCCTCAATCTTGCCACCATCAGTCCATCCATGTTGCTTAAAGAACACCTGAGCACGGTTGTTGCCACCAAACATCATCGTTCTAAGCTGTTCGGGACTCCATGAGTCTAAGTTGGTAGACCTTCATAGAAAAGGAAAATGTAGGCAAGTGACTCAGAAACATTTCTCCATATTCATTCTCAGCTTCTTCAGAAGAAAATGGCAAATTGAGGACTCGAAATCTAACACCGTGAATCAATTTTCATATTATGAGCTAAGAACCCAATAACATTATGCGAGCAGATTCCCGAAAACAGTAAATCAAGATCCATCAAAACATGGGATACAGACAAAAACTTATTACCACACCAAGATACAATACATTGACAGTTAGAGCCAGACGTATGAGAATGAATAGCTATAAATAGAAGGCAGAAGGGAAAAGTCGGCGAATCCTACACAGAGAAGCTCTTCAGACAGCCATACGTATCATGCTTTAAACCCTGACCAGAAGCAACGAATTGCTACTGTTCTAAGCTATACTAAATTAAACCCGATCGAGCTAATCGAACACTGAACAATATAGAATTGGTGTTTCTCGAAATCCGAAATTACCTCACGAAGCTGATATGAACACCGAGACTCCGATGAACAGCTGAGCAATCGATGCAGAGAAACACACCGTAAGTAACCGACGCCCATGTCGGATTCTTCGCATTACAGTCGAAACATATCTACAGCCCAAAGGAAAAAAAGCGAAATCGGATCAGCATGAAAGAAGAGAACTTAATCGAAGATCTGTTCATCCAAACCCCAGATCTGAACAACATATACAAAATCAAGAGACAATCCTCAGAAACCCAAAAAACCCAGGTCAAGAACCACAGACAAAAGAAAAAAATCCACTGCAAAGAGCTCGAGAAACGACGATAAACCGAACCTTGTTCTCAGATTTCGCTTTCAGTTTTCTGAAAACAACATTCTTGTCGGTGAGATTCTCAGACGCCATCACAGCAGAAATCTGGAGAAAATTGTAGGGATTTACAATTGGATCGATTCTCTCAAAATCAAAAACCGGAAATCTGAAGAAAAAATGATGAATCACCTCCTCGGGCAACCTACACGATATTAAAAAGAAAAAAATCTGGAAATGAAATTTGATTTTCCCCTTCACATCTGCGTTGGCTTTCATTTATGTAAAGAGTTTCGTACTAAACAGACGATAATACCCCGAGGAAACTTTAAATTTACGCAAATACCATTGAGCAACGAGAATAAAGAAACGGCAGGTCGTGCGTACTCCCGTTTCAGAAGCAACATGACGTTAAAAGCTTAACCGACGACTTGGTTCCTAACTTATAAATTATAATTATTTAAAAAATTTTCTCTTTAAAGATAATTTCAATCTTTAATCTATGCTATTAAATGTAATCAGAATGTTTGGCATATTTCTTTATCAAAAAAATGAATATTGGGGCGCGTATGAAAAAATAACAGCTGTAGTTATATCATATCCATTTTCACCATATCATTAACCATATGAAAATATCGTCATTATAGAATTCTGAAATGGTATTCAATACAATACAAATCCAAATCCAAATCCAAATAATAATAATAATGACAATAAATGCAACGTGGCAGAGTGAATGGCCCAAAATATCATAAATGGGCCTACACCAATTATAATGGGCCTTGTCCATCAGATATAAGCCCATGGTGATGTGACGAGTGAAGATACTGTTGCTTTGTCGGCCGATTCTCTGAACCCAAACTACGGCCACTCGAGAAAAAGAATATTCCGTCAGCAATAAATTATATAATTTAGATTTGGACTGACACTGACACATAGGTTTTATATATAAATATGATATCTTGTTACATCTTTTATGTTTTATTTCAATACCAACCTAAAATTTATAATATTTCATTTTCATAATGTAAACAACCTTAGAGAAAAAAATCTTGGGTTTATTTCTTATATGGTTTAATATCTTGCAGGGCGGTCGAAAGGTTTTACGCGTAAAGTAGGATTATTTTGTTTAATAATAAGTAAAAAATAATTACTGTTAAATAAATCACAAGTGGAATGGAAGTCGCGTGCTGTGTTTTTTTTTTTTTTTGGGCTTACGCATTCTCCACGTGAAATGCATGAACCGGATCAATTTTAGCCGGTCCTCTTCAACCACACATTTTTATATTACCATATTGTATTACTTTTATAGTTTTATTTAAGAATACGTGTCATATATATTTTTTTAATATATCTCTAAAGTATTGGTCATATCAAAGATGGCTTTTTTCAAACATAACTGCTTTCTCTGCCTTTATTCATAAATATATGTCTTTTCTCTTTAATATCCATATTCCATCAAAAAATGGACCGAAATATCCGATGCCCATTTCGGTAGGATCCAACAAATCACATATCTTTCCTAATATCCATAATCAACCACCACGAATGTATCATGAATAATATATCCATGTGTGTATAATGTATTTATGTACGCATATAAATCATGTATAAATAATGTGATCTTTGTGGTCGCATCCATATCATTTCAGGTAATTAAATTAACCCCACGAAAAAAAAATTCAGTTATGATTCGTATCCGAAGTTATAAATTTAATAATATGGTCCCCGCGATTTTATTACGCAATTGGGCGTATAAATCTTTCAAAATACAAGAAAAGGGAATTTTGCGTGATTTTTTAAAATGGAAAGTAGACGTCACAAAAACAACAACGATGAAGTTGGAGGCTTTATTAAGATAATTAATGGACTGATTTATTAACAAATTTGACAACTAATAGTTCTAATTACCATTTCGATTACAAAAAATGGTACAACAATGGTAGGAATATTCAAAATTTTAACATTAAATATATACAACAAATATACAGATAGGTATTTGATCGTTTGAGACTTTTATAGTGGCGAATTATTGAACAGAATTTAGATGAAATCTGAATTCGCTATAATATACGAAAGCTTCTTAGTACGAATATATATATATATATGGATGGTAGGATTAATAAAGTAATTTCCTTGTTTTATTATGTATTTTTATTTAATAAACGGGTAATTGTTGACGAGAAAAATAATAACACAATATGAGCTGTTTGGAAAATAAATAATTGCGGAATCCAACAATCACCAAACGCCATTTGCTGAGCTTCTTCTCCTCTCATCTCTTCTCCCTTCACACCAATCACTTGTCTCTCTCTCTCTCGCCGGAAAGTTTATAGCTTTACCGGTCTCCGCCGCAATCGACCGGATCGGGGGTTTCATGACCGATTACCGCCTCAACCGATCAACGAACGGCACAACGGCGTCGATTAATCTATGGACGGCGGACGATGACGCGTCGGTGATGGAAGCCTTCGTCAGCTCCGATCACTCTGCTCTCTGGCCACCGGCTCCTCCGGCGGAGCAATTATCTGCCGGCGGTGACCATCCCCAGCAGCCGGCGGCGGCGCAGTCGCGGTTGAACGAAGATACTCTTCAGCAGCGACTCCAGGCCTTGATCGAAGGCGCGAGAGAGACCTGGACCTACGCTATATACTGGCAGCTGTCGTACGACTCCATCGCAGGCGGTGGAGACGGCGAGGGAACGGCCTTTCTCGGATGGGGCGATGGATACTACAAAGGAGAAGAGGATAAAGGGAAGAGCAAGAAACGGTGCTCCTCGGTTAACGCGGTGGAGCAGGAGCACCGGAAGAGGGTTATACGGGAACTAAACGCGCTGATTTCAGGAGGAGCGGTAGCTGGAGCCGCCGATGATGCCGGAGACGAGGAAGTCACCGACACAGAGTGGTTCTTCCTGGTGTCGATGACTCAGAGCTTCCTGAACGGAACTGGATTGCCGGGACAAGCGTTCCTACACTGTCGGACGATCTGGCTTTCCGGGTCGGGAGCTCTGGCTGGATCGGGTTGCGAGCGAGCCCAGCAGGGTCAAATCTACGGATTGCGGACGCTGGTGTGTATTCCGTCGGATAACGGCGTGGTGGAGCTGGGTTCGACGGATGTGATACAACAGAGCTCAGATCTGATGGAAAAGGTCAACACTCTGTTCAATTTCAACAACGGTGGTGGTGAAGCGGGTTCGTGGACGTTCAATCTGAATCCGGATGAGGGAGAAAACGACCCTACTCTCTGGATAACCGAACCCACCACCAGAATCGATTCCGGTCACGTCATCCCGACGGCGGCGATCAATAACGGTAACTCCAATTCCAATTCCAATTCTCACCAATTCCCAAAGCCTGGTCACTTTGAGAACGGTAGCTCGGTGGAGAACCCAGGGCAGAATCCTCAGAGTTCGTCTCTGGATCGAAATTTGAATTTGTCGAGTTCTGGGTTGAATCAAAACGGGAACTTTTCAGATGGGTCGCGCCCGAAATCGGGCGAGATTCTAAATTTCTGCGGGAACAAGAACGGAAATGGAACCGGGTTTTCGGGCCAAACCAGTTTTGCGGCAGCGGAGAACAATAAGAAGCGATCTCCGGTGTCAAAGGGGAGTAACAATGACGAAGGGATGCTTTCTTTCACTTGCGGCGTTGTTCTTCCCTCCTCCGCCGCAAAGTCCGGCGATTCTGATCACTCAGACGTGGAAGCTTCAGTGGCGAAGGAAGCAGACAGTAGTAGAATAGTGGAACCGGAGAAGAAGCCGAGAAAGCGGGGAAGAAAACCAGCGAACGGGAGAGAAGAGCCGCTGAATCACGTAGAGGCTGAGAGACAGAGGAGGGAGAAGCTAAACCAGAGGTTCTACTCGTTGAGAGCTGTGGTTCCAAATGTTTCCAAGATGGACAAAGCGTCTCTTCTGGGAGATGCCATATCATACATCAACGAGCTGAAATCTAAGCTGCAAGAGGCAGAATCCGATAAAGAAGATCTGCAGAAGCAGCTAAACGAGCTTAACAAGGAAGGGTCTGGTAAAGATTCACGCCCGCAGTCCAGTAAAGACCGGAAGGGACTGAACCAAGATTCGGGACCAGCCATGGAAATGGAAATCGACGTGAAGATCATAGGCTGGGACGTGATGATACGCATCCAATGCAGCAAGAAGAACCACCCTGGCGCTAAATTCATGGAAGCACTGAAAGAGCTGGACTTGGAGGTGAACCACGCGAGTCTATCGGTGGTGAACGATCTCATGATCCAGCAAGCGACCGTGAAAATGGGGAATCGGTTTCTGACACAGGACCAGCTTAAGGTAGCTCTAATGGCGAAAGTGGGGGAGAGCTCATGAAATAAAGATCACATCTTTAGCAGAGGGTAATCAATCCTCGATCCTTCACAAGAACATCTGTTGTGATGATAATGTATTATGCTATATGTGTAAGTGTAAGTACCCATTTTGCGGCACCAACTTGTTGTTGTTCCATTAAAGAGAGTTTGTAGTTTAGTGTTTCATCTCAGTTCTTCAAGTAGCTTCGGTTATGGCGTTATTGGTTCACTCTGGTCTGTTCCCTCTCTAGCAATTCGTGTAAATATTTTTTTTATTAGGAATAAACAAAATGGGAATAAATTGGGTTCTATGAATGCAATATGTGAAATGTTCAAAACTATTCATTAGGGGTTTTGATAGGACATATCTCTTCAGTATGTCACATGGAAACATGAGGTGGCAATAAGAAAGTGAAATAAGTGGTCCAAAAGGAAATGGTACATTGGATTGTTATTGCCCCTTATCTTTTTTCAGAATTGGTGGAGCAAATGTCATCATGCCAAAAATGTGGAGACATGTGTTGGTCGACTTATAAAATAGAATCATTATAGAATTGTGGAGTTATTTCATCACCCAATTTCAATTAATATTAATAATAATACAAAGATAGATATGGATAGGTAGGTAGATAGAGATAACCTTTTTACTTTTGGGGATAGCCATCACCAAAAAAAAATAAAATATATATATATATATATATATGTGTGTATTTTTATATTTGATACAAAAAAAAAAAAGGATTCTGATAACTGAAACATTTATAAATCATTTTGATTTTGGACCGAACCCTTTTGGCAGTCTTTTATTGCACTCTTTCTCGTACATGTACATCGAATAGTCGCATGAAGAAATCATTATATTTGTCTACTAATCATATGTCTTTATCTACTAGTGAAAGTTTTCGATATTCGAATATGAAATTATTATTGTTTATGGTGTGCTGCGCTCATTTTTTAGACGTTTTGCAACAAAACTTAAAAATAAGACGCATTGATAATAACACGCGTTTTATATAATTATCCTTTAACCAAAAAATAATAATGATATAATATATGTTTTAGGTATGTATTTGAATATAAAATGAATCGAACGTATCAAAAGAGACCGCGTTGGTTACTCTCTAATTTGTTACTAAACGCATCAATCGATGATAAATAAATCATTAGGGCGACATTACAAGCCGTGATCAGTGGGGTTATAGAGAACTAATTGCTTAATTAATATTGTCTCGTCATCAAATAAACAACACGCGCGCTTGCTATATTTAGAAATCGCTTCTGTTTGTCTTTTCTATTATTATTATAAGAACATTGCACAAAACTATCTCAAAATAATAAAAACAGTAAATATTTACTATCAAAAGAACCCACAAAAAAAAAACCTTCTCTCTATTCATCGTCGTACGTCATCGTCGTCGTCTTCGTAGGAAAGCCATGACCTTGAGCTGCCTAACATGTCAAGCCCTCCGAAGAACAGATTCAGACAAAGAGTTTGCTCTGTCTCCCGATCATAGTTCCGGGTCAGGATCAAGATCCGGATCCGGGTCCGGGGATTTGGGGCCGGAGACAAATCATATTCTGCGGAGAGTGTTCCGTAGGGATGTAGGGAGGAGCTGGTCGGGGAATCTGAGCCCTAGGATGTACGCGAAGATCGGACGGTCAGGTTCGTCTGTGGCGCCGCAGAGGATGAAGAAGGTGAAGAAGGGTCGCCATCTGAGGATGGACAGTCCAATGGGCTCTGCAGAACCAAGGCTCGTCCGGTCCTCTGGCATGCGAAGGGATTGGAGTTTCGAGGATCTCACTCAACGATGAGCCATATATATATACACACGATCTCTCACTTATGTAAGCTTTGTATATTTATCTACTTATATAACCAAACAAAAAAAGATAATGCATATAATCGCGTTGCATGCATGCAAATGCAAAATGCAATGTATGAGAGATGGTAAAGGGAGAAGAGAAGAGTTCTTTTTTTTTTTTTTGCAATCGAACGGATGTATAATCTGTTTGTAAAAAAAATAAAGAATAAAAGAATATAAAGTAAATATGTACCATTTTATCTCTTTACTTCGAAGCTATGACTTAGTTTTCAAATTAGTATATAATATAGAGAATCTGCATATGACTTCAAGAGTATATATATATATACACTTTTAAAAAAAAAAGTGTAGTTAATGAAATTTTTATGATTTCGATTTATTCTATTGATAATCATTACCTATTTTTTTTTAATAAAAAGTAAAATAAATTTCTATATAATTTTTTACCGAAAATTATTAGTAATAATGTCTTTCTTTGTCTCTATTTATTTTGTGTAATCCTTGTGTTTTATCATGAAATTATTATGTTTATAATATATTAATACCACAAATTAGTTGTGCTTTTAATATTTTCACGTCGTTTTATAGTCTTTGGTTTTGAGATCTTTTTTTTTAATTAACATGTCTTAAGAATCTATGATAATAATTTGGAGCTACTCACGTGCATTTTCATCATGGTTTTTTTAATAATGTTAATTTTTTAATATGAAGAATGAACATCATGTTTTCTTGTAAACCTATGACCAAATGTTCGGGGAAAAAAAAGACGAGATGCGCATCTATTTGGAAAAAAAATACTCCTCCAATGACTAAAAACGATATATATGGGGAGAAATCCAGGTCAGGGTGGTTGGGAGCATGGGATGATGCCATGAGGTGGGGGATTCGATCTCTCATCGTCTCACTTTCTCTGACATGTTCGCCTGTCAGTCTCTGAACTGATTTACCTCTCACGTATATGTTGTAGACTCGTGTGCGTGGGTTTGAGGTTTTCTCGGATCCGCGACGAAAGTACGGTCCGAAATTAAGGTTGTAGGAAAGGGGTTTCCCAATATTATAAAAAAAAACCTATATATATGGTACGCTTAATTATGTTAAAATTCGAGACTTTAACATAAATTTCAGACTTATATACAATTTGGGATATACATTTGACAAGAGAAGGTGGCCGTTAATAGACCTATCAAAAAGTCAGATAGCCATCATCACGACGAGTGGACCATTTCAACTCCCCGGGTTTTTCAATGAGATCATGGAAATCTGACGTGGCGCATTGTCAAAGTCAACATTATGAATTACGATACGTATGTGTGTGTGTATATATATTATCATAGTTGTTATCTGTAATGGAATATATATATATATATATATATATTGAGAAGAAGATGGATTATTAATAAGTTTTCATATTATAAAAAAAGACCTTTTATAAAAAAATATGGGATTTGGATATAATTCTGTTAACGTATTAAGATATAGTTATGCCTTTTACCTATTGTAGTCGTCTATGTATATAACAAATCTTTCGTTAGGAAGATTCCGTGTAAGATAATTCAAGTTGACGCATATTAGGACGTATACGTTTCACACCTCCGAGTAAATTTACATATTTTATTATTGAATCGAGTCAAAATTTCATATTGTTTTTTTTTTTTATAATTATTATGTTTGGACTGAGCGAGCGAGAGAAAATTTAATAAAACCTATTTGTGGGTTCGTCTTCTCATCTCTCCAGTCAAAGAACGTAAGCTCTCTCTCTCTCTCTCTCTCTCTCTCTCTCTCTCCATTTCTTACTCTGTGCCTAAAAGCTTTAAACTTTCCATTGTTTTAGACATTTTCTCTGGAAACGCAGAGAGTTTCTTTGGTATTAAATTCAGAATTCTTACAAGTTTCTGGTAAGAAGAGGTTTGTCTTCTTCTTTCTTGGGGTTGTCCTGTTCCTCTGCCCAAACCTGACTTGAAACCTTCCAGATAAGGTGATTTCATATCCATAAGGAAATTTTTTTGCAGCTTTTGAAGAGCTTCGAACCGGTTTGGAAGAATGGATGATGCAAGAAACCACCACCATCACCATCATCATGACCATCTGGGCGTGAATAAGATGAGAAGAAACATTCGCAAAGCTCCATCCCAACAGCAACAGCAACAGCAACAGCAGCCTCAGGCTTTGGTGTATAACATAAACAAGAGCGATTTCAGGACAATCGTTCAGCAGTTAACCGGCTCCGGCTCAACTTCAACGGTCGTTCCACCTCCCGAAAACCCACCAAAACCACCCAATTCACGCTTGGTTAAAGTTAGGCCGGCCCCGTTGACCCAAGTGAACCGTCCTCCACCACCGGTTCAACCGGGCCTCTCATCCCCTAAACCGGTTCAACCGCACAACCCGTTTCAGGTCAACGTCGCCGAGTCCCCCATCTCGGCGTACATGCGTTACCTAACCCAGCCGAGTCCGGTTCAATACCCAAACCCCAATGGAATCCCGGTCCAACCGCATCAAACCGATCCAACATGTATTAAATCCCCAGCATCGCAATTTATTTGGCCGCAACCGCGATCGCCGCTCCCATTGATATCGCCGAATATCGCGTTCTCGCCGCGGATTTTGGGCGGCGGCCCACAATCTCCGTCTTCGAGTGGTCTCTTTTTTCCCCTATTCAGCCCTACATGGACGACTCATTAGTCCACAATAATATTAATAATTGATATGTTCAGTAATTGGAATAATTTGTTTTGTTTTATGGATGATTTTTCTTTGTAGATGTCTTTTTTTTTATATAATATTAGATGTGTTCTTTTTTTTTTTTGGTTAAATATTAGATGTGTTCTTACTTCTTAGTTGTTGTTGTATGTAACTTTATACGATAATTAGTGTTTCATTTGAGACAATAACCTGTATTTATCTTTTCTTTCTAAGTGATGTGTGTTGTGTTTCTTCTCTAAGTTACTGTTAGAAAATCCATTTTAATAATTTAATAATCGATATGGTATCCCATCCGATACAAAATATTATACGTATCGCAAATTAAATTCTTGTGAAAAAAAAGACTAAAATTTCAATATACTATACTATAATCGAATATGATAGTTTTTATTTAATTTTTTCCATACTGATATTTTTTTTTGGTTGGTCGTCGCCATAACTTCTCATTCTCAACGTTATTATTATGAATAAAGAAGTTGAAATGCATCATTAATTTCGTGGTGTTCAAAATTCTGTGATCTCATTGGTTACTCCATCGTCCTTCTGAACCAATCATATCGCAGCCATCGATTAGGTTTTGCTAATATAATCATTATTATGACTCATTGATTGCGCACCCTTTTTTGTTTTTTGTTTTTCTCTTTTCGTTTCCAATTTCTTCAACTTAAGTTAAATTAATTCGATTTTTTAAGAATATTTTATTTTGTATTTTCCCACTTTCTGTCTTCCTTTATTCACCAAGTTGGCAACTTGCAGCCCCACTAGAATGTCCTATCAAGAGAGGTATCATTACTTTTGTCCCACAATTACGACATGAAATTTCACATTTTTTTAATAATAATTATTTTATGTTCATTATTGTAATATATTTATTGAACCTTTTGGTAAACTGATATATAATACACGTAGCTTATATTTCTATAACAAAAAGATGTACATTGTTGGGCTTAATGCAATAAATTCAACGTAATGGAACACATTTCAATCCAAAAAAATGTCAACCAGATATATTCTAAAAACCAACTGGAGAAAAGTATTTCGTTGGATGAATATTCTTCGATTTATTGACCCAATTTACATACGAAAATTTTCTTTACGAGTATTGTTATATTTTATATAATTTAACCCCTATAATGTTTTTTCAAACCCCTATAATGTTGATTTGCATACGTGACGAATTATTTTTAAAATTGAATCCAAGGACAAAGTAAATTAAAAGGAGTGGTACATATTTGGATTAAAGTTTGGCTAAGACATTGCACTAAAATAAAGTAAACATAATTCTTAGTAGGTTACAAACTTGGACAATTTAATTTTACTTTTGATATAGTCACGTGTAAACGTATACCATACACGCATTTAAATGTTTAATTCGTGAGTAATATTTGAAAAATATTATAGTTTAGAATATAATCTGTATCATAATTTATTATATATATATATATATGTTCTTCAAACATTTACAATGAAAGCTGGCTTAAACATTATAAAGATGATTATTACTCAGTAGGGCACTGTACTGCCATGAATCCGTCGATAAATTTTGTTTAATGTATTGAATATATAGCACTAAGAATAATATATCCATTAAAAAATAGGAACATAATTTTTGCCAAAAAAGAATCACATGAGGACAAAAGTGACCCCGCGAGATCGGACGGCGGGAGATGAGCCAGATCGGAATCTATACGTATATCTCGACATATGTGTTATGGTGCGCTTTATACAGCCAATCAAGTGGGTCCCACAATCTGATTATTTTTAATTTTTTAATTAGGAACGAAGGATGAAAACGGCGCGCACTTCTAAACCCTTTGCCGAAGAACTCCTTACCACGATTGGATACACAGACACACACACACATATATATATATATATATATATGTATTCGATATCTCAATCTTGTTTTTTTATTTGATTAAAGAATCACAAAGACTGTAACTGCATGAGATTATTCATCTTTTTTCTAAATATATATTATGGTCCGTAACCTTCAGGAGTTGCGGTCATGAAATTAATAGCCATACGCTTACGAAATATTGTGCTACATATGGGAAATTCACCAACCCTTTTTTAATTTCCATTTCTCCATTGCGTTCAGTTCGCGGAAAATCATGTGCCCATAAAAGGAAATGTCCAAAATACCCTTTTCTATGTGATCACGAAGCCAACACGTAAGGACATTTGCGTCATTTCGGAATAAGGAAGAAAAAAAATCACCAAAAACATAAAATATGAAGGGGAAAAATCGAGGTTAATTAAAAAACAGACAAGAGTGGGAATTATGACCGTGAAACAGAACAATTAACAAATCTAGGGTTTTTTTTTTCACATCACCGGAGGATCGGTGGAATCACGAGCCATGGCTTCGGTGATGGAGGCGAGTTTCTGGAGATTGAGCTTGACGACTGTGTCGGCGAAGAGCCTCGTGTCTTCCTCCGTGTTTCCCTCCGGCACGTCCACCACGTACGACTCGAGGACCACGGTCCAGACGATGCCGCCGCCCTCGCGGCAGAAGCTATGCACCGTCGTGACAGAGTTGTAGTTGCGGAGCCTGTGCTCGCCGCCGATTATGCTGAAGCCCGTCACCCTCCTCTCCTCGTCCAGGATGTCGAGCCGCTCCGTCGACGTGTTCGCCGGCAGGCCGCTTATCACGGTCACGTCGCGCGTGCATCCCACGCGCATCTGGAAGCCTTCCTCCACCACGCAGCTCTTGATAAAGTGCTTGTACGTCTGCGGCTTGTCGAATCGCCTGACCACCGACCACACGATCTCCGGCGGCGACTGGATCCGCTGCGCCAGGAGGGAGGAGCAGCGCCCAAGGCCGAGCCTGTAGGTGTGGAACTCGGCGATGGACTGAGCCAGCTCGGAGAACTCGTCCTGGGTCAACCCGGGAGGCATCGTTAGGTGATGGCTTGTGTTGTTGGGGGTTTCCTCTCTGACCGGCTCTCGATTCGCCATTGATGTGGATTGAAACCTGCTCCGGCAATCCTTTGTTATTTATTGTAAGTCAGAGAGAGAGAGAGAGAGAGAGAGAGATTTCGCATGGGGGCAGTTACAAGCGAGGTTGATTTTTGAGGGAGGAAGAAGGGTAAAAGTGGAATTCCATGAAAATGAAGGGCAAAGTAGGGAATATATAGAGCATGAAGGGTGCATATTTGATTTTAAACCCTGGATTATTTTGTGTTTGCACACTGATTAAAAAAAATTAAAATTAACTAAACTTAATCATATTCTTGTCAACCGCAGCACGAGCACGAGCAAATAAAATACGATAATTAATGGTCAGAAGAGGCCGTCACTCGTTGCTAAAACACGAATAATATTATTTGTTACGAGTGATTTATGATCGATAATTAGGTGAAGCTCTATAGATATTTAAAAGATAAAATAAAACAAAAGAGGGAATATTGGATTAAAAATAAAATAAAAGAAGATATTAGAGAGTACAGGTGGGTTCAAAAAAGCCTTTTAGGACACTGCTAGTTGGGCCCTTTTATCTGTAAAGCCTCGGATAGAGTCAACCCTCCTTTTTCTCTCTCTCTCTCTCCTCCATCTTCATTGATTTCTCCTCTATACCATTTTCTAATCAATTATACCAAATTTCACATACTTTTATATATACATATAAATAAAAAGTATATACACGTGAGTAAACATTACATGTTATGTGCTATTGAATTTGATATAAAAAAAATATTGGAGAGAGCAAAAGAAAATAAAAATGAAAATGGTTAGGGAAAAAAAGAAATAAAATGGAAAGTAAATCGGAGAGTCCATAAGTGGCGCCGCCAGCTGTTTTCCCCCTTATCTCCGCCCAGAAGTTAATGTCCATGCGCACGCACTCGCACGCAACACATTATTATTAATATTTTTGCATTATTATTATTATCATTACTATTATTAATCCTGATATTCTTTCAGTAATATATAAAAGACAATGAAGCATCTGTGAGTCCATGTCAATCGTGATTCTGTAATAAAATTAGTTCCAATAATTATGTTTTTTTTAATTGTAAAATTCTATCTCTTGTGAAAAAGTCGTCCTATATATTTTCTTTTGTAATGACCAACTTATAAACGGAATATTCAGATTTATATATCCATACATTTATCAGTATATTATCCTATGTGTTATTATACTTTCCATGCGGTTGCTTCTACGACAATTATAAGCTCTCTCTCTCTCTATATATATATATATATATGGAGAAATCACGCAAGTACGTAATATATATATATATATATATATATATATATAGGCAAATTTTGTGAATTGTCAAATTATATCTGAAAGGAAAAAGGTTATTCAGATGGGTAATTGATGTAAAACATAAAATTAGCATCCTAATAAAGAAAAGTGAGACCATTTCTTGGGGGATTTGGCCTTCTTGGATTTGCAAGTGCTTTTAGCATCCGCCGCTGCCTTCTTCTCCTTGGGCTGCTTCGTTTTCTGCTTCTTCTCTTT